ATGGGCTGACGTCAGGCCGGGGCGGCGCGCGCACAGGAATCTCCGGAATCCTCACTTCTAACCCTCAAGTAGTGAGGTTCTGACTTCGGCCGGGGACTGAGCCTGATTGGATTACTTCACTTCAGGGTCGTCTCAAGCAAGTCAGCTGGGAGAAGGTCTTTACTCGGCGAGAGTTCCTCATTTCCGCCTGTTGCGCCCCTGAAACCGGCAGAACTTCAGTCTGTAAAGCGCCTCCCGCTCCCAGGCACTCTGACACACTTCTCACCTAACTACTAACTGCTTCGGCAAACTTAGCTTTGGCAACACGCGTGCTAAACTTACCTCACGAGTTCCGAGTACATGTAAAATTATCTGGATATCTTGGAGAGCGCTGAGGTTACTCTATTAATTTCCTTTCTTAACCGACCCTGCCACAATAAAATGTTATTGTGTGCTTGTCAAAGATCATGCTCTGCTCGTCGGTAAATAAATAAAAGAAGTTTTACTAGGACCGCTCCATTGACTATATATTTGACTACAAACATCATCCTTCCAGTGAAGAACGTAAAGACGTCAGCGTCTATAACGATTTGCTTATTTCTACAAACATCACGGAGAAGGTTCGGGTTTCTTCTGGTTTGTGCCCTCCTCGGTTCTCTGGCCTTTTAGTCAATAAAATACAGTCTCCAAGACGTGACTGTATGTCATAGGCTGGATCGACATTTGATATTTGTTTGAGTAAACTATTTACCCTGGTTAAATACCTGAGGCGAGTCGCCCGCAGTCGGGGTTCCACAAACACCGCATGAGACCAGGGGACAGACATGGGGAAAATGTCGCCTGTGGCACATACTCATGATACTAGATCTACAGTTATCCTCTTACCGTGATAAACTACGGAAAAATACCGGATAGTGAATGGCACTAGTCTAGCCTGCGCTAGAATTGTCTCGTTTCTGTGGCCACCATGTACCAAGATACTTATATATACCCAATAAGGTTCTATCCAAGATGTACCTTGTTGGGCACCCCTGTCTCGTAATAAGGCAGAAGGCACCATAATATTGACCAAACGCTGGCACAAGAAGAAGACCATGACCTGGCCATATCAATAAGAGACATGTCACAAAATGGGTTACAAGACGACTGTCTTAACCTAGAGTGAAAACTTGAAAACAGTACAGACGTCTTGTTTGCTCACGGTAACCCGACGCTTGTATCAACATCGAATTGTGAAGTAAGTACATACATCTTAACATCGCTCTACTTGTTTTATGGAAGTCATATCCAAGGGGGGTCTTTTAAATCTTTCAGTGCGCACAAGAGATGAAACTGATATTATAACCTAACCGCGACTGTTCTGGTACAGTAGCTAGTTAAGTGTCTATATACCAATCGACTTGAGCTATCAAGAGTTAATTTAAACCCTTGACCTCAGCGAAGACACCATCAGCTCACCTGTGGATTCCCACACCCGCATCTCAATCCTCTCCCACCGGTAGCGCGGTCCACAGAACCGCCCAAGACATTACATAAACTTGTCTCCTGCCGGGAGAGGTCGGGCGTCCCGAGGGGGCGTTAGGCCGTTCGCACGCGAGGAGCCAGACGTGACGTTCACGGGCTGGACCACCTGGAAACGATCTTCCTGCCCTAGCCTCCAATCCAGGCTTCTTGGTGTGGCCTTTTTATCATAACCCATTTATCATGATACATGGGACTATTCATTAACCTTCACTGCATGCCTCCGAAATTTCAATTTTTCAATTTCTACAATAATGTAGACAGAAACGTTAGATAGATCTATAGACTAGACATTTGTAAAACCCATTGACGTTATCATATCGTGTGTTCCCTTGCACTAAGATTTTTAAGAGATGAGTTTGAACAAAATATCATATAAGCTGTTTTCTGACTGTATATCAGTTCTCACAGCTTCTAGAAACCCGGTAAAATCAGAACTGACATAAAACTGACAATAAGAAAACAGCACATAATACCGATAAGCCTACTGAAAGCCCAGCCAGGAAGCTTGATGTAGTGTAGAGGCTTCTGCCTGCCCTGGAAAACGCCCAAGAACTGCGACATACTCAACGAATGGTTTTCTGCCAAGAACTTGGATACAACATTGTGATGTATTGCCTAATGGTAGTTTTATAACGTACTCGTTCACTGTATGAGGGTCTAGCGTGGTCGTTGGTAGGCAATAACGATTGTCAACACACTTCTTGGTTCTACGTGTGCAAACTATTAAGGTTACACATACTTCGCGGAGTTAAGCGGCTGACAGATGCCAGGGACAGTCTGTGTGTCGAGCTGTTGCAAATAGCTATGATCAGCTATGTTTAAGAAGGGACACCGCCATTGTAGGAACCATTAAAATACTGTCGCTTGAACACTGACGGACGGTGCAGGGAGTAACGTTAAACGCCGTGTGTTCTATGTCAATTGCAACTTATGAACCATGACGCTTCCACCGGCGTCGACGTGTGGCTGAAGTGTGAGCTGCCATGGTGATACAGGAAGAAATGCAGAGAGACCCGCTTCAAGAAGATGTGGGGAGAAAACTGATCGTTTACCCCTCTACAGCGTTTCCATGGAATGCGAAACTCGGAGTTAGCAAGCTAAATGCCTCCTTTGATGTGCAAACGACAGGTAACGAACTATTGTATCCAGAACCGTGCCTATCTAGTTGTATACCTGAATAGGTCAGGGTTAGGATCAGGCACGGTTCTGAAACACAGATCCTTCAAAGGAAGTGGGGCTGGATAGGACACACCTTGAGGAAACCACCATCCAGTATCACACACCAGGCCCTAACCTGGAACCCACAGGGAAAAAGAAAGAGAGGAAGGCCCAGAAATAGTTGGAGAAGAGACACTGAGGAGGAGATGAGGAGAATAGCGAACAGCTGGGAGGACCTGAGGAAGACAGCCCAGAGGCGGGTGAAGTGGAGAGCCATCGTCGGTGGCCTATGCTCTGGCAGGAGCGAAGGGCCAAAGTAAGTAAGTAAGTACGGTTCTGGATAAATGGTAGGATTCTGGATAACACACGAACTCAGTAACAACTGAACGTGCATGTCGATGACCCTTTGAACAGAATTAACGATCGGCCCCTGAGCTTATCGCTGCTGACAGGTACGCCATGTACAGTCCACCGCACAGTCAGATATCTGGAATAAACACATGATAACCCCCTAATAGGCTCTACCGCGGAAACGATCCGCGAACATGTCACAAACGCGGTACAGGAATGAAGAAGCCACTGCTGCGTACATATAGATGATACGTCGATGAAGGTTTATATAGACAGTTTCGTCATTCACGAAATGTAGTGGATGACACTTGAAACGAATGACAGTTTAAAATCTATCCCGTTGCTTGAGTAACTGATTTTTTGCGCGTTGTGTATAGTATTCTCGGCTTTACATTTCCGTTCACTGATATGATTTGCTGTATAAAATGTATAACTAGATAATTCTATTTTAAATCATATAAAAGATAACATAAAATGCTTTTATTTAGATTCAGGCCGACCAATATTCGCTTGTTCAGAAAGTATTAGTAATTGACGGATCAATGCCTCAAGTAGCACATCGATGAAAAATAGTCGAAATATTTGATACAATTCCTTGTGTATGTGTATTTGTAACGTTATATGTTTAAGTAAATGTACACGTCACGTCGCATAGGTGACGTAGCCTATAACGTAGCCTAGGTGAACTGGAATGGTGGGCTTGAATGGATTAATATGAAACTACTGATGCAGCCGATCTACTGGTATCCGACCATCCTCCCCATCAGGTTGATGAAGTTGTAGATGACCTTCCCGGAGTGGGCAGACGAGCTGTGGAACTCAGGCGCTGTCCTGCCCGTGTACAGGACCAGGTGGCCCTCCCCCACCGAGAAAGCCGGGCAGATGGGATCCTCGAGCTCTCCCTTGACGTCTAAAAACCTGTGCAGTACCGCATAGTTCCGCATGGCGTCGAAGAACGTCAGTGTCCCATGCTCGCAGTCAAGCAGTACGCCGATCATCCTGGGGTATTCGTGAATGGATAACATGTATATCTGCACGTCGTGGTGGGCGACATAGTCCCCTCCGCCCTCCCGGCTGATGCACCAGGCGTCGGCCGTGCACCCGAGCGACTTGTCCCGAGCGACCCGGCTGGCGGCCACGCCGAGTCGGTAGGTGGTCGTCGCGGACACGTCCACCTCCCAGTAGTGAGTCCCGTGGCTGAGGAACACGCCGCCCAGCACGCTGTAGGAAAATCTGAGGAAGAGGAACAAGGGGTTAGGGAGTGAAAGATGTTTCAGCGAAAGAGGTCAACGACAAATCTACTGACTATAACCCCGACCAATACGGTCGATCGATGATGATGACAAAACCAGTACACCATATGTTCGATAGAGCAAAAAATAATTTCACCAATATCACGTATTTATTTGGCAATTTCTGGTATTTACGAATACGCATTCCCCTTGTCTTGTAACCCAGCTGTAGCCTCTAGTAGACTACCAAAGAAATTGGCCAAATACACAGATAACATGCCAGGGGAGTTGGTCCGCTCAAGAGTACAGTTTAGAGCGGCTGTCTACTAGTATTTGGACCAATTTCTTTGCAGCCGCTTCCCGATGCCTGGTAGAGGCTAGCCCATCTGTAACTGTCTCGGTAGAAAAGGACGCGATAACCTGGTAAAGCGCTCCGAGTTTTCACAGCTGTCGGGGCTGCTGGAACAAGAGGAGTCGAGTGAAGCACGGCGGCAGGTTCTTCTCTCGGCGTCCATAGCAACCACCGTGTTGCCATGGCGCAGCACCAGCTCACAGTGGGCCGTCCGGGGGTCCATGGTGAACCTCGTGCCTGGTGAAACAAGTGGGAATATCACACTATCGCAAATACTGTACCACGTTTTTTGACAGGCTGACTAAAGTTCTAAACGGGACGTAGACTATGCGGTTCCAGATGTCTATTAGGCACGACTCGACTGCGGTTTGCTAGATGTCGTTTACTCTGCAGTCTGCTATATACCGCAAAGATCGCCTTTTCTTACATTTAATACAGGTGCGATCAGTCACTCTTGTTAGTCCAGTACTTAGCCTTCACTGCGGCGTTCTTTATTTGGCGTCAAAAGCTGACGACAAAACTGAAATGATACTGACGAACAATGTCAACGGACGTCTTCTAAAAGATGCTGATATTGAGATAACCGCATAATTTTAAAGGACACATGAGTAAAATGTCCCATGACGCATATAGACCGATACAATTGACTGTAACAAAGGCCTATGTAATGACACTTATTGTTAGGTCAACATAAAATTCGACTTTCTCTCAAAGAGAAGAGATCGTCAGATGCAGCTGTGAATATAGACGAGAACTAATGAAGGACCTTGTAACCAGTTAACATGTTATCTTTATTTCAGGTCTTGTATTTATAGTAGATTTCTTATTTCATGTTTGTCTGCACGTCTGTACATGTGGGTTATCTAATACCAGTTTACACTGCCTTGATAACCTGTGTCTTGACCTGTTGTCATTGCCAATAAAGAAAGAAAGAAAGAAAGAAAGAAAGAAAGAAAGAAAGAAAGAAAGGACTATAAACTTTAAGAGAGGATTTCTGACCTTCCTCCTGGCTTAGCCTAATGACCATCTCTTTCTCCCTGTGTAGGTCTATCGCCACGTGCAGGAAGTGGGAGTCGGCGGCAGGGAGCCGCGCCATGCCCCGCACCATGGACACCGCCTGGTCTATTCTGGAGAGGTTTTAGGCAATTAACTACAGGATGAAAACACGAAATGACGAGAGGATGATTGAAATGCCTTTGCAACACATCAGTTCGTCTACAAATATCAAGACTAATCAAAACGTTCAGAAAAATGTAGTTCAAAGACATCTACAAGCGCCCGCAGATGTTCACAAACGTTCGCAAACGTTTGTAAATGGTTGTAAAGTCTACAAACGTCCATAAACCGTCCGCAAGGGACCACAAGCGTTCCCAAATGCCCGCAAACGTTTTGTTACATCCAAGAATGTTCGCACATCTCTCAAAAGTCTACCTTTGCTTTGTCTGTCCTGCAAGCACCACGAAAGCCCCCGGGTCGGTCTCGTCCAGCGCCAGCCGCGCCTGGCCGCCCACCGCCCGGCTGTTCTCCAGCACGTCCCGGCACGTGTCGGTCTGCTCCCTGAGCTCCTGCAGCTTCGCCCCGGCCTCCTCCTCCACCCGCGACACCAGCCCAAGCTTCCGCTCCTCCAGCAGGGAGATCAGCTCGTCGTACGCGCTCGTCACCTTACCCTTCTCTTCCTCGGCTTTGTCCTGACACAAGGTTTGTTGGATCAGTTTTATCTAGCCCCTACCAGGCTTCAGAGGCGGGTGGAAAGAGTAGAAATTGGCCAAATAGACAGATAACTTGCCAGGGGAGAGTTGGTCCGTTTAAGGAGTAGAGTTTACAGACTAACTTCCCTGGTATGTTATCTGCCTATTTGGTCAATTTCTACTCTTTCCAGCCGCCTGTGTTGAGACTTCTCTAATCGAGACTTCTCATCAGATACCTTCCACCATTATGCCAGGACATGTCCCGAAATAAGCTGGCTCTGTCAAGAAATACTAACAACGTGCGTATTCCCCAAAATCTTCATAGACCACATGTCTGTCTCAGCGATAAGACTTGGCCAAATACAAGCGCCAATTGCAAACAGCTGGTCCTACGTACCTTGACCTCCATGATGACGGAGTTCAGCAGCTCTATGAAACTCTCCAACTCGCCGTTCGTCTGGTCCAGACTCTCCAAACTCGCCTCAAGGTGGGCCTACAGTGATATGACGTTTTTAGTGACATATGATAACCAGAAATATTATATATAACGTTATGTCACGGCAGAGACTTCAATCGGGTAGAATCGCCGGTTCTACTGGCAGAGATCCCGACCGGAGTCTCTGTCGACGATCGAGATTTCTACCGGTAGAATTGCCGATTTTACCAGATGTAGTATAACGCGTGACGCCCTAAACATTGTGCAGCGGATGGCACGAGGCAAAAGATGATGGAACAGCAAAAGGCCGAATCAAGCATAACGTTACGCCATCTTGTTCACTCCACTGACCGCTGCTAGCCCTTAGTTCCATAGGCTAGCTATAGCCGGTACCTGTCCATGGTGCTGATTTGCAGTCCCCCGTAGACTATGTGCTACTTCACTCTCTCGGCTTCGAATCTAGTGGCGTCAACTGACAAGGTGTCAATATACACAGATTGTGGCATCATCACCCTTTCTTCTCCGATGTTGGACGTCTAATCTGACCACTTGACAGCTAGCTTTTGGTACGAAAATGAGCGATAAGAATTTTTTATTTTTATTTTATTCCAACATGTAATCACCAGACGTGGCGCCACCAACACAGGGGACAAATACATTACAGGACAATACTCATTTACACCTGAGCTAAGTGAGGAAAGCCGTGTAAAGTGCCTTTCCCAAGGGCACAAGATCGTTGGCATGTCAGACTCGAACCCGGGACTCTTAGTTCCGAGTCGCGCACTCTGCCGCTACGCCACACGACCCCACGATAAGAATCTGATTTGATTCACAAGATTCACCGTAGCATAAGCAATTGAGCATTCATTACCATAAATTCAAAAAATTCTTTATTTACTAATTTGTTATGTTACAAAGAAAATGTAGTTACTGCAACTTCACCTTCTTCCAGTGAACCACGCGGCCCAGCTCCGTGACGTCATGATGACGATGCTGGCTGATGACGCAGCGGGCGCAGATGGCCATGTCGTCCGTCTGGCAGAACAGGTTCACTCGCTCGTCGGGATGGTCCGCGCACACGGTCGTCTGGACGGGGTACATGGACATATTTGACCATGGGATTGACATTTAACGTAATAGGGGTTTGGGACATGTTGTCTCTGTTGTGCACCATTACATCTAGATGGGGTAGGATCAGGCATGGTTTTGGATAGTCTCAACGAATCCAAGAACGCAGATTTTCCCCTGGCACAGTTCTGGATACGTATAGAGTATCTAGAAGCGTGCTTAAGCAGGTTGTGTATAATGCACGGTTCTGGATATCGATACGACACCGTTTAAGACACAAAACTCTTTTAGATTGTCAAATATGTGTTTCATGCAACTTACCCAGGCTTTAATACGTGGAGATTTGGTACAGTCATGGCGCATGCAGCAGCAACGAGTTGGTTCTTTTTCACATCGTATGGAATGTCTATTGTTATCCGTACATGTAGGGACTAGTTTGGACGCCAAAGGCCGACAAGAACCTGGGTATCTGGAGGTTTATTTGCGGTACCTTTGGTTTGGGTTTGGCCTGCTCCTCCTGCCATGTCTGTAAGACCTTCTCGGCCAGGCGGTTCCGCGCCACCCCGTCCACCCCGCGGGACAGCCAGAACTCCTCCCGGCACACCGGACACCGGATCCGCCGGGACCTGGGGCGGAACCGACCCCCAAATCAATCAGTCTATCAGTTGCTTCAGTAACTGGTTTCTTGTTTATCTCATTACCTAGATGTCTAAACTTCATCGATGTACAATGGATAGGTTAATCCATAATGGATTCCACCAACATCGTGATCTTTATATGTTTATGGGCCTCGTAAAAACTGCCATTTTTTATTACAAAACACCGACGGCCAACCACCAAATCAGTCAATCAATGGATAGCTTACGCCGATGTAGGTAGGACATCCAGGTAATGAGATACACAAGAAAACAGCTAGAGGCTTCAAGCATTCACTAAGGCTATTTTTAGTTGGTGACTGTCCCTGACTGTCAGTCATCAGATCTATTCAGTTGCTTGAGTAACTATTTTCTTATGAAGTGGATCGTGATCGTTGTAAAATTGTTATAGGCCTGTTAAAATGTGTAAACCGACGGTAAGTTTCGGGTTTTTGCCCCCAAACTGAAGCTCATTAGAAGCATTTCTGAGGGATAAAGTATGTCACGCAATGATGGGTGTTTTTAGTCCTGTGTCTATCCGTTTTTCTCCAGAACGACTTGGAAGGTAACGCAGCAGACTACATCATCTCACCCTACACTTATTTTACTGACTTAGAACATAATTGCGCAGAGATAATAGTTATGTACGACTGGCAAAGGCGTGTTAATACATGTACGCGAACATGTTGAACAAGCCAATAAACTGTTGTATTGTATGTAATTACGCCAAAATACCCACTAGCACGCGTGTTAATGGGAGCCTCACCTGGATTTCAAAGACAGCCGGGGGAATTGTGATATCAAAATACAGTGTATCAGCTTCATAATAAATGCTGATGTGTATACAATGTAATGTTGCTAATCACCTTTCCTTCTTCAGATAGGAACAAACACTGCCATCTAAATATTCAAAGCATTTGAAGTATTTTTTATTGCCAGATGTGACTATCAAGTTGGAAGATGTGACTACTACGGAAATGCATCAGTCTGTCTGTCTCTATCTCTCCCTCTCTCACCTGTATGGTCCCTGAAACATGTCCCTGAGACAGGCCTGACAGAAGTTGTGCTGACAGGGCAGCATGAGGACGGGCACGGTCAGCAGGTCCAGGCAGATCGGGCACTTCAGGTCCGACAGTACCGTCTCCATCACCGCCCGAGGGGTCGCGTCTACACAGGCCAGCGGCAGGGAGCCGGGGGGAGGGCTGGGGGGATCATCCAGGCCGTCCTTCCGCGGGGCTGCCGCCATGATGTTAGACTTGTAAACCTGGGGAAAGATGTGGAATGTCTCATTGTGAGACGAAAGGTAACTTTCTCAATATAATTGGGACAACAAACCGTCTTTCCGCGGGGCACCCACCGTAATGTTTCACTTGCAAACCTGGGGAAAGACATGGAATCGTGTGTTGCGGCGAAGGGCGGTTATACTGGCTGTACAGATACAGAAGCTGGTGCTTTACGCTAAAGGGTGGTTATACCGGCCATACCGTCGGAAGCTGGTGTGTTACGCGGGTGGTTATACCGGCCATACAGATACAGAAGCTGGTGTGTTACGCTAAAGGGTGCTTATACCGGCCATACCGTCGGAAGCTGGTGTGTTACGCTAAAGGGTGGTTATACCGGCCATACAGATACAGAAGCTGGTGTGTTACGCTAAAGGGTGGTTATACCGGCCATACCGTCGGAAGCTGGTGTGTTACGCGGGTGGTTATACCGGCCATACAGATACAGAAGCTGGTGTGTTACGCTGAAGGACGAATACCGGCTATATGTACAAGTACAGAATGTCTAGATGTGAGACGAAAGGTAACTTACTGAACTGGAAACAAGTGGACACGGACCCGAGCAACAATAATCACTAATTATAACGCTTTACGTGACGTAGCCCAGAGCAAGGAGGTTAGGACTATTATAAAGCTTCCACACAAACTACTTCAGCGACCAGGGTCCAGCGCCAGTCAGTCTAAACGCCTTAACGTTGCACAATGAGAAGGAATGCAGCAAAAGACATCCGGGTGCAAAGTCTCGTACTCTGTCGTGTACACGGACCACGGGATGGAGGTCGTCACGATTTTAAAAATTTCATTTCAGTAACAATAGCAGTCACTATGTGCGACCTATGTTCGAAATACTGACAAACAAAATGAACCACTAAGCAAAACACCACATCAAAGAGGAACAGACGAGGAAAGGGCACGACTACGATGTAATCGCATAGAGCTCACCTTCTGCGAAACACGTACCCTCTCTTGAAACAGCGGACAGACCACTATTTACTAGACTGTGAGCATGCAGTGCATACCCAGATCTATGTTTACGCATTCCGACAACAGGAGAGGCTATTTGGGACACAATAATGCGGTTCAAGATAACTTGAGCATGGCAATGAGTTTGAACCGTAACGCTGCGCGGTCCTTGTGGAGGTACACAGGTGTTTGGCCAGGTAGAACATTGCCTTAGACCATTCCAGTTAGAGTCACGGTTATATAGTATAAGAATGCAGAATCTGACACGTTTGACATTTACTCAGGTGTTTATAGAATAAAGACAACCACCTGCCGAGTGGACATTCTCTCACGCAGGTTAAAGAACACGGGAGAAAGGCGGGAAGTCTTTGAAGTTTAGACGGTTTCCATGTCGTAAGGGCGCCAGGACTGATTAACACCTTCAACTTCTCACTGTTAATCATTTCATTTGGTCTTGGACATAAAAGGCTGGCAAAAAAATGGCGCGTTGTTGATAAAATACATCAGCTTTGCGTGAGTAGAATGCGAACCAGTCTTGCGCGACCGGTTTCGCCCCCTTCTTGAAAAAAAAACTTGGCTGATTTCCTAAGGGTGACGACTTCTTCAAAGTTAAGGTCACCAGACGATAACCATGCACAGCACACCAACACACAAAGGGAAAGAAGATCGATATGAATTATTCGTGGCATACGTGCCCGTTGTATGCCTATCATATCCACGCTATCATTGTGTCCTTTGCCGTCAAGCACTGCATGCTCGTCGTGTAAGCTAAACACTGTCGTGCACGTAATCACACGGTCATTACACTGTCTAGATGAATTCAACCTAGGGGAATTCTAAGAGAAAATGCTCAGCAATATAGATGAATGTTATAGCTTACCGGGTAAACTTGATGTAGCGTACCGTCAGATAGCAAACAGCGGATACATAGTATCTCACCTGTCTTGTCTAGGAGGTGTCCAGATCCCAGTGGCTGACGTCGTCCTTTGAACTACTTCATCCGGGCGTCAGGTAGGTTAGCCACAGGTGGGAGAACGGTTTCTCAGAGCCCAGTGGCGGTTTGGGCCCTCCGGTCATAGGTCAATATGTTTTGGTGCGACCGTCCTCCAGAGACATACAGAAGACTTGCCCACACACCGAGTCAACATGTGACGAGAAAAGGTCGAGCAACTGTGGGACTGCAACAATGGTGCATGGAGACTCCCCTCGGGCTGACGGCGTTCAATTATTAACGAGATAATAACAAACCGAGTCTTTTACGGGTTTTCACAAAGATATATACACTAGTACTATCAGCGCACGGTATAAAAACGTTCCGTCTATGCCCTATAGTAGACAGCAGTTCAGTCAATTCTATAACTCATGTCATTTTCAGCAAAGGATAGTCGGCGGTCCGTAACATTAAAGGATGTTTTTCTGCCCTCGCTCCAGGCGGTGTAGTCCTTGAATATAGTGTAAGGGAAGACCAGCTTGTGAAATTAGACGTTACAGAGTTACAGAGTGTCGTTTCGACACCAAGCATGTCTGATCACGTGGAGTTGCGTGTTCTGAATGCACAGGTGTAGGGAGCACGTCGGCAGAATGTTCAGCGCATGCGCGAAATCAAGATTCTGTTAATGATGTTTGGGCAACGTTGTGTGCAACAAAATTTTGTCCGTTGGATATCTTTTCCGACAGAGCAGATGAAGACAACAGACGGGATGTCATCCTTAATTACGCGAACACGACCTAAACTAGAGAGGCCGACATTTGCTTGGGAGCAAATACAGCATATTTCAGTCCATCTCCCTCCCACGCAAAAGTGGACTATTCCAAACTTACCCCAGCTGTGCAAAACTGGCAAAGGTTCTCAAATAAATGAATTAAATAGTAGCTATGTAATTGAGAACAAAGATGCAAGAACAAGCACTTTGAATCTCGAAAGCTTTACTAATCTTATTACAGGTGTGCAAATACTAACAATGATGAGATTAATCGATTTGATACATTTTGAAGGTCTTAGGCACATAAAATTGAATGTGTGGGTTATTACGCACGACTTACGTGCAACGTGACCCCAGGTAACCCGCAATGTTCGATGTGTTCGATGGACAACGGCAGATGGAACGGGCCATTCTTCAGATCGAACGTGGAACGGGTACAGCACTTTTGGCCCTTTTTTGGCCTGAAATAGCCATTAATGTCCCCTAAATGAGTAATTTGGAAGTGGTGTATGCCAAATATGTGACTGCTATTCTGTAGACACACGTTCAAGGTACCCGTATACCGAATTTCAGATCATTTGGTTGTAATACCTGGGCTCAGCATCCAAAAATCCATTTTTTGTCGAAAAATGCCCCAAAAAAACTTCATAAAAATTTTTCAAAGGCATGTTTCAAAAAAATGAAAAAAAACCTGGGGGTATTGGCCCACTCTCCCTCCATGACAAATTTCAAGTCATTTGGCTGAGTTGAATCCATTTATATGGAATGGCAGACGACGACGACGACGACGGAGAAGAAACATGAGAGAACACAATATATTTCATCCATACCATATATGGTATGGACTGAAATATAACTAGTGTGACCCTGCGTTTAATGGACTTTATTCCATCGCTGTGAAAGTTTCAGTCGCCACAGGTCAATTCATTCCGCTATTGTAGACATACACAAAGAACACAGTTTAGATAGACATAGACAGAACATTTAATAGACAGAACATGTAGATTTTGCGCTGTTGACTGCCGAAGTTCTAAGTCAGACACTCCTGTGATGATGTCACGTATTGCAGTTGGAAAACTAATTTGGAAACTTCATGCTTGAGGATTTATAATCCAACTGGTCTAGAGGTGGAGGTGCCAAAGTCAACTTTCATGACGAAGCGCAAGGGAACAGTAATCACATCATGTATGTGTGTTTATAGTACATTCTGGGTCAGACATGGAATTCAAATGACAAGAGGACAAAATGAAATGCACATTTAATATATTGGATACTGTTTTGACCTGTGATGACAGTTCAGTACCACCGACAACATGTCCAGAAACTCGGTCTTGAAGTGCAGGTGTGCTTGGGTGTCACAGACAATTTCTTGGCTAAAGAGCAGAGAAAGAAATGATTTTTATTATAATGTGCCTGCGCTTTTCTGCCCACGCAAATTGTCTAGTACATCTTGTCGTTGAACTCTAAACATTTTGATGTAGCCATCCTGTAGTACATGCATGCTTATGCCACCAAAAGAGCCCCCAGTTAAAGAACAACCATTGATAGCAATCACAGTTATCACACGGTATTCATTGATAAGGCACATTAGAGTTCTACGTAATAAACTACAACGTGGTTTGGAGGTATATTCTATCTTCTTCAATAACCTGCACTGAAAACTCACAGGGTGCTGATGCGCATGCAAAGTTCGTAACGTTACATGAATATGTATTTGAATACCACGTCATCATAATCACGATATGAATAAATTCCAGCGCTCGTGATCCAGACAGACACGTTCGGTTTTTCAGTCTTACAGCTGCACTGAACATGAAGGTGACTGAATTGTTTTTGCTCGTCACTTACGGATCTCTATGGCCAGGATTCTTGTCTCTTCCAATCCAGTGTGAAATCAAGTACCAACCGATCATCGGGCCGTCAATAAGGTGTAACAGATTGGGCCTGTTTGTGTACTTTCCTATGTTTGTTACTCTACTACTTTCTGTAGCTCATAGACCCTTTCATTATCGACAAATCGTAAGTTACCCAAAGTCGGTCATCGAACTACTCACTGTTTCAACCAAAACGACACTATCATATAAACACAAACCCTCTGCAGCAACGTAGGATACTAGTAACCATTTCTGAACTTGAACTTTTTTAACCGCTACTCAGCAACCAAATGTCATTCAGTTCCATTCACAGCTTGTCGAGTAATGTTCAACACATGCAATCAACAAATGGAGGCCCCTAACAAATGTAAAAAAATCCAGCTGCAGTACCGTTGGGAAAAGCCAGGTGGACCAATTTGAACTTGACCTACATTTCTACAACAGCTAACCGTTAAATGTACCCACATGCGAAATATAAAAAAGATCCATCCACAACTTCTCGAGTTATGATGTTGACCTAGTACATAGAACCACCAGCCCAAACTGAAAATACCCTCCGGTATTACGGACTCAGGCGGAGAGGACGGCTTTACAACTCCCGTAAATAAGACCTGTAACGGTTTTACATTTATTGAATGCGACAAGGCCATCTGATCTAGCTTATAGCCATCTATCGTTTCGTTCTATTCGCCACCCCCCCACCCCCGCACAGTCGAATCGCCCATGTTCTACTACAATGTATATGTTTGTGACGTCTCTAAACAACATTGGTGTTCTAAACACTGCTTAGAGACAGTGCTCAACGATAACGTTGACATATAAAAGCTCCACAGCTTTTACTTTTTTTCGAAGGCAAGCTTCGTCGATAACGGCTTAAAAATGCTTCGATTTGCGAGGAAAATTTTAATAAGATGTTTCCCGAAAAGAAACGGGAAAGTAGCGCCATTGCCAGTTGAGGAGACGGTGGCTAAAGAGGCTGGTGAACATGGCGTGGCACGGGGACGCGAAGGTGAGTGAAGCAGATTCCTTTTGAAGTAGAACCTACTGATAGAGTAACCCCCTCAACACACACACACGAGCGCGCGCGTACACACACACACACACACACACACACACACACACACACACACACACACACACACACACACACACACACACATTACACGCACACATACGCATATATTCACACATACTGACACGCACACACTCACACACACACACACACACACACACACAACACACACACACACTAACACACACACACACTACACTGGGATCATGAGTCCCTCCATGTAACGTACGAACTTTATACCCACAGTCCCGGAGGCATTGATGCCTCAACCTAGGCCCAGCACAGCCTGGGCGCTCGCCGGGAAGTCTGATGAAGTTGCGGCGGAATCGCAACAGGACGCACCAATGCCGACAGTGGCGCCTCAGCAGCCGGTCCCCGCGGTCGTGACGCCTGTGGCTCTGTCAGAAAAGATCGTCCTGTGCAGACATCCGACAGTAAATCTTGTGAAGGGGAATTTCGTACAGCCCTGCCCGACGAGCAGTACGCCGTCGGATCTACATGTAACACCTGGCAAGCCAGTGACAGAGAGAGAGTCTTTCGAGAGGGTGTGCCACCGTAGAGCGATGCTCAGGAGCGGCGGATTCGGCAACGTGTATGCCGGTACAAGGGCACGGGACGTCAAGCATATAGCGAGCAAGCCAGTGACAGAGAGAGAGTCTTTCAAGAAGGCGTACCTCCGTGGAGCGATGCTCGGGAGCGGCGGATTCGGCACCGTGTATGCCGGTACAAGGGCACGGGACGGCCTACCGGTGGCCATCAAGCGTATCGCGAAAGAGGACGTCCCAGGATGGGGACAGTTAAACGGAGTGCGTGTTCCCTTGGAGATCATCTTGTTGCAGCGAGTGATGGGCCACGACGACATCATCAAGTTGTTGGACTGGTACGAACGCCGGAATTCCTATATCCTCATCCTGGAGCGTCCAGAGCCAGTCATGGACTTGTTACACTTTATCAATGATCATGAAAAGGGTGCTCTGGGCGAGTTCTTGAGCAGAGACTTTATGCTCCAAATCGTGCACATGGTCAGGCATTGCCACAACCAGGGTGTGGTGCACAGAGACATCAAGCCCGAGAACTTACTAGTCGACCTGAGGACGGGGAGAATTAAGCTGATTGACTTCGGGTCTGGCGCCTTCCTGAAAGACACAGTCTACACAGATTTCGCTGGAACGAGAGTATACAGTCCTCCTGAGTGGATCCGGTTAAATCGGTACCACGGTCGCCGGGCAGCGGTCTGGTCGCTGGGCATCCTGCTGTACATCATGGTTTGCGGCGACATTCCCTTCGAGCGAGACAGCGAAATCTGCAGAGGCGAGGTCTACTTCGAACGACGGGTATCAAAAGAATGCGAAGATCTCATCAGGTGGATGTTGACAATCCGTCCGTCCGGCCGCCCTTCTCTCCAGCAGATCCTAGAACACCCGTGGATGCTGAAAGGCAGGAGTCTGTCGAGACGTCTGTCATACGAGCGCCGGTAAGTTAAGGAAATGTTCCGTTCTTTTGAAATTTACCAAAAAAGAAAGCATTCACAACGAATATCGTGTAACGCTAACGCTACGTCCCGTAGTATTTAATGGGAGATAATTGGATTGAAATACAAAAATTCAAATTGGGGTTTTGGAACTTTTGGAATTTTTTTTGATTGACAGATATTTTTTTCTTTTCCAGTCGTTCGTCGTTCGTAAGATTCTATCTCAGTGGTCTGAAAGGTTTCGCAAGCTAGCCGGCGAGGCAGCAGAGGTGCGGCCAAAGTTCCGGCCAAGAGGACCCTAAGTTCCTCATCCCCTCTGTGAGTACTTTTTCTCACAGCCTGGCGTTTGTGACAAACTTTCCACGACAATCAGAAACTCATCTTCTACCTTACCATATCTGCTTGGAGATAAGGTAACCGTAACTAGAAAGGCCGACATTTGCTGAGGAGCAAATACACCATATTCCAGTCCATCTCCCTCCCACTATTCCAAACTTACCCCAGTGCAAAACTGGCAAAGGTTCTCAAATAAATGAATTAAATAGAAGGTACATGTATGTAATTGAGAACAAAGATGCAAGAACAAGCACTTTGAATCTCGAAAGCTTTACTAATCTTATTACAGGTATACAAATACTAACAATGATGAGATTTGATACATTTTGAAGGTCTTAGGCACATAAAATTGAATGTGCAATGTGACCTCAGGTAACCCGCAATGGAACACGTGTTCCATGGTCAACGGCAGATAGAACGGGCATTCTTTAGATAGAACGTGGAACGGGTATAGCACTTTTGGCCCTTTTTTTGGCCTAAAATAGCCATTAAAGTCCCCTAAATGAGTCATTTGGAAGTGGTGTATGCCAAATATGTGACTGCTATTCTGTAGACACACGTTCAAGGTACCCTTATACCGAATTTCAGATCATTTGGTTGCAATACTGGGGCTCAGGATCCAAAAGTCCATTTTTTGTCGACAAATGCCCCCCAAAACCTTCATAAAAATTTTTCAAAGGCATGTATCAAAAAAATGAAAAAAAAAAAAACGCCTGGGGGTATTGGCCGACTCTACCTCCATGCCAAATTTCAGGTCATTTGGCTGAATGATGGCGGAGTTGAATCCCTTTGACTGTTTGGCAGGAGAAGAAGGAGGAGAAACATGAGAGAAGAATGATACGATTTGTGTGTGTATGCCTGTCTGTTTGCTTGTGGGTTTATAGTTATTTAGATACAGTAACGTTAGACATGGTAGAGTCCCATTCAGATTCTTAGATAAACAGCTGTGGACATGGTGGCTGCTCGTTAAGCTAAAATTGATGTTACAGAAAGAATTGCCGCCAATTTCTTAGAATTCATACGAAGGAGAAAAGCACTGACTACAGTATTCCCTGAGACAAGGTGGAGCAAACATCGGACTGGAGGTAAGCACCTCCTGGCGATCTATGTGCAAAGTGCAATTTCAAAATGGCGGCCATCAGGTAAATTTCGACGGACTCTTCGTTGTGAGCTCAGTTTGCTTACAAAGTCAGCGCACAACATCAACAACAGAAGGCTCGCAGCTACTTCTCGGTAACCGTAACATACCAGAGACAAGTATGACCAGTATTTTACGGCACGTTTCGTCGTGATATCGTCCATTCAGAGGCGTAAACATGTACTCGGAGTGGGCGTCCCTTCACAGCTCTGTGCTGAGCGATGCCGGGAGCGCCAGCGTCCTGCACACCTTCCCCGAGGGGGTGGGGAGGGACGTGGCGTGCTCCGTGGTGCGGCACCTGTCCCACGGGCTCAGCCACGGCGGTGGGGAGGACGGACAGAAGCTGGACAGCGAGCAGCAGGTCAACTGGACCATGGAGGTGAGTCGGCCCCTCCCCCTGGCATAGGCTTTCTTCATGTTGCTGAGGTTTATTGACATAACAAAAGTGCAGGGACAAATTATGATATTTACACGGTGATGACAAGGTAATGTGGCCTTAGCTGCCATTCACACTGACATCTAAACATACCCCATTTGCACAAAAATGCTTCATTAACCGTTAAGCCTCCTTGCACAAGTAGAGTAGAGTAAAATGGAAGAATGAATAAAAGGACTGTCTGCTTGGAAAATATAACACGTTACTTGAATTTATCAATAGAATGAAGTGTGTTAGTTCAATCTTCTAAACCAACCATTTCTTTTAACACTATGCCTTATGCTAAGTTATAGTGTAGCAGAACTTTGTGTGTAGCATTATGTATAACCATAAGCTATGTACTGTACACAAACAGTAACATGTATGAAGATGAGTTGTTGCATTATGTATGGTACAATTGATAGCTACTGATGTAAGATAACTCATACACCGTGAAGACAGTGCAGCACATCTAATATATTATAACTGTGTGGCACATCTAATATATTATCATATCTAATACTATCAATAATATACAAATGTAGTTATGAGGAGAAAACAAACAGTTTCCCATCCCTCCCCCCAGGTTCTGTGCTATGGCCTGACACTGCCCCTGACTGACCACGACACCATACGGGACTGTGTCAATGTGTACAGTGATTGGTTGACTGTGCTGACCACGCCCAAAAACTCTGTGCCCAGGCCTATCCTGGAGGAGCCCAACAAATATGCACAGAGGATGTTCAAACACCTGCACAACCTCTTCCTGCCAAGATCAGAAGGTAACATGTAGTTTTTATGACAACTGGTAATCATCATGCAGTATCTATGATAACTACAATGAATTAGTATTTATGACTTTTCATGCAGTTGTACAATGTATGTGAGTATCAGCATCTGAACCACTATTGGTCAAGTAGTATACTACAAATGTAGATGTGCTTTCTCTTAAGAAGTAGCAAAGAAAGACTTTACAAAAACAACTGCTTTGGACATCTGGGGAATACTGGATGCATGTTGACCTCTTGTAGTTATACGTTATATAACATAACACAATACAATACATATCTATGTAGCAGCATACGAATATTGTTAAGATTTGACTTATACATGTACTCACAGTTTTCAACCCATCCTCGGTACCAAGCTAAGAAGGTCGGATTCTGACAGGATGATCATCAAATTGAATACTGTTAATTGTTTCTACAGGAGGTAATGTTGACAAGCAGGCCCTGATGTGCCACAGGATCCTCCGGACCTCACAGAACATCGCCAAGGAGTCTCCCATCATGACACAGCAGACATGGGAGGGGCTGTTACTGTTCCTACTGGGCGTCAACGATACACTGTTGGCTCCACCCACTGCACAAGGTGCGCTTCCGATCAGGGATCTCTTTTGGATTGAACTGCAGAGAATGAGTTGCACTAGATCTAGATGCAGAGGAGACAGTCATAGCTTTTATCCCGATGAACTAATATTTACCTTATACTGTGTATACTAGTATCTCCACCTGCAATTCGTATGTACATTGATAAATTCAGGTCATTCTTTCTATAACATGCAGATATTTTACACCTACTATTGTTACACATGTATAGATCATAAATCAAGTAAAGGTTAGGATCAATTCTCTAACAGTATGAACCTTGTTTTTCTTATCCAAAGCTGTACATATACTGTAGTTAAGCATAATATAACCTCCCTAGCACCAGTGGATAACCATGCCTTCTCCCCCTCCTAGGCAGTATAGCAGACCAGCTGTGTGACCGGCTGGTGAGTGTGTTGTTTGAGATCTGGCTGGTGGCCTGTGCCCGGTGTTTCCCCTCCCCGCCCCTGTGGAAGACCCTGCGGGAGATGTGCATCACCTGGAGGCACCACGCTGCCATGGTTGACCAGTGGAACAGGTTCAACATACTCCTCACCTCCAAGGTGCTGAGGATCATGTACGGACCTGACTTTCCAGAACTCAAGATAGGTAAGAAAATAATACTTCTGACTGTGAGTATATGTCATTGTTCTATGTATAGCTATTTGTAACTTTCTTCTAGTTTATACAATGTATATCCAACAGAACTTTGAGGGAACATTGAAAGTAGGAAAAAAAATATACCTGTATGTACATGTATATGGAAGAGTAAGTGGAGAATGCAAATTGTGTCTCATATTAACACATACGCACACTATCCAGTTTAGCACCTGTTGGTCACCATATTAATGTACCGCCTGCTGAAGTACAATGTATTGGTGCACCCTCTGCTACCATTTTGTTGACTGGTCACATCCCTCTTACTAAGAACATGTCAACATGCACTCAACTCTTGCAACAACACAGTGTATTGATTCTGATTCAGTTCATAACAGAGTGACCACTAGGGTCCCAGTACGCATTTGTGCCAGTACAGATTGGCAATAAATCGAACATTCTACACCCCTCCCCCCAGCTGAAGAGGACATGACCATGGTACCAGCAGATATGGAGAGTGAGTGCGTGGTGCAGACGTGGTTCCGCTTCCTCCACGTGCTGGGCAACCCCGTGGACCTGTCCAACCCCAACCTCATCAGCCAGACGCCGCGCTTCGTCCACATGGCCATGATCAGTGACGTGGTGATCGACCCCTCCCACCACCCCTGTCTGAAGAGGCTGCCTGCCATCTTCCTCAGGGCCATGAAGGGCGTCTCGGGGCTGGTGGACGCCTTCCTGGGTGGGTGTTGCACTGCATCTTTTTCCCCTTTCAGATGTCTTTTGATCATTATGTTAGTGTCAATTTGTTCATTTTTTTATTCCTAACCTTGAGGCTAATACGAGACAGTTTGCCAGGACACTATCCAGGTGATTTATCCTGTCTTTTGTAGTAGGAGAGAAATGGATATTTTTGTGGTGTGCAGTTGAAACAAATCCAAATCTGTCCAAATCTGATCACAACAATGTTCCATTGTTTATACACATGTACATGTATGTTTCATATCATGCTGGCAATAAACTTATCATCTAAAGTGTAGTACGTAGGACATCCATGCACTTTGGAATGCTGAATAATGTTCCCTGTTCTGCAGGTATGTCGTCCCCCAGAGAGGTGGAGGATGTGGACAGTGCCCCCACCACCCCGCAGGTGTTCCGTGGCTCTGCCTCCACCACTCCCCCAGGGTCACGCAAACGCAGCTTCATACCGTCCATATCAGGTCAGTGGCAGCCAAAAGCTCTGGAGAGGTCAAGATGTGTTCCAGGAATCTAGTCATTAATGTGAAAACAGTAGAGCAGACTGAGATAGACTTCAAAGGGTTGCTCTTCTGTGATTTTACCAGTGTCAGTCTAAGCTTGAAAACTGAAAAATATACGCTACCACAGAACTACACATATGCTTTTAAAGGTGCTTTGGCCCCATGTTCGGCTAATTATATGACCCAGGCATTATGTTTTTTTAGCTATAGCAGAACAGTAGCTATATCTGTATCTGTACAGCCAGTATAACTGCCCTCTGGCATAACACACCAACTAGCAGGCATGTGGCGCAACAGCAGCTGGCTATATTACACCTAACCTTCGCACATCTAACTGCACATCTCTTTAGCACATCAATCCAGTTCCTGCTTTCATCTACATGTATGACCAGACAATCACTACGTATATTTAATAATAAATTATATAATTATCTAATTTATGATTTATTTATCTATTTATTGATGGATTTCAGGAAAGGACAAGGCTGAGTTCCGTAAGTCTGCCCCCGCCATCCTGCCCCGCCAGCCCTCGGCCAGCAGCGTGACGCTGTTCAGTAGCGACCTGCATGCCGTGCCGTCCCCCTGCAGGCCAAAGGTCAACAGCGTGCTGCACCTGTTCGGGGCGTGGCTGTTTGATGCGGGGTTGGCGGGCTGCGAGCTGGAGCCGACTCACAAGAGACAAGGCAGCTTCTCAAGTGAGATGTCCCTGCAAATCAGATTAACAAATTAGGCCACACCAATTTAATTTCTTGGTTAACGGATTTTTCTAGAAAAATAATGGAGCGGGCGGGCGAAAAAATAAAAAAAATAAAAACAGGCCTTGGCATCCTATTATGGCCCAAAATGGTACGATAGGAGCCATGAAGTCAACATACCAGGCTGGTTCAAAATTTAAACAATGAATTTTGAACTTTTAATGATACCATTGCATTGAAAGATGGAATAACTGTAACAACTAGGAAGAAAAGGGACTGTTTTCAACTGTTCAGGGCAAAATATGACCATTTTGCAGTTGATTCTGAATTTTTATTTTTATTTGCAAATCAGAAAAAAGTGAAGCGGGCGAATCCGTTAACCAAGAAATTAAATTGGTGTGGCCTTAGAGAAACTTTTAACAATGGTTTCATCTGTTCTTGTCATCTTTATTGGTGAAAGTACAGTTACATTTGTGGAAAAAGGTTAATGTTTTCTATTCTTTCTAAAACTAGAGGAAAATTGAAAAAATCTTTGTAGCTCGGAAAGCCTTAGTTTAAAATTCATCTAACAATTAAAATCCCTAATTTCAAAGCATTCAAAAACATTGCGATAAACTGAATTTCTGCTCGCAAAATAGATAGGGTCTGTGTGATATTTTTGAACACAGGTATGGGGTCCAGAAGGTCCAGTGCTGCGTTTCCCAGCAGTTCCCAGGACATGGCGGCCGCTGTGGACTCGCCCGAGTATCCAGAGAGTTACGAGTCTGGGCGCGCCGAGGCCTGCGGCACACTGTGCAGAATCTTCTGCTGTAAGAGATCTGGGGAGGAGATCCTACCCGCGTATCTGTCCAGGTTCTACCTGGTGCTCGCACAGGGGCTGCAGGTCGGCAGGGTAAGGATGAGGATGTTGTGAAGGGTGAAGTTGTTGTTTGAATGCTTGTTGTTTGTATAGGGTCAGTCCGCAGTTAGCCCCATCACTGTGGACATACTATGAGTTGAAGTGACATTGATGTATAGTATGACTATGAGTTAAAGTGACATTGATGTATAGTAGTTTGTTGTCTTATTGGTGTAAGGATATCTAAAGCAATGCATCTAAGAATCTTACCAGTATTGACTGTACCATTTGATGTACAATGATTGTAGTATGAGACCAGATTCATTTATAACTGTTGCACTTTAAAGTAGGTATCAGGTGATATCATCACAGTGATGACACCACAGTGCTTCTTCAAAGACGATTGTTACAACACAAGAAACTAAAGCTTGAAAGTTGTTGGTAGACATCATTCTGAATCTCAACCAAAGTTGCCTTGAGAAAGACTGGAATTGGTCAGTCAAAAATTTGGGCAAGTCCCATTCTTTAACGTTGGCAATCACAAGTCAGCTTTGATTAAGGACAATATATGCACATGAAATACATTTTACATATACACATGAAATACATTTTGTTAGCCAGTGTCCTCACTATGAGACCGAAAGAAACAGATTATTTCAGACAGTTACAACAATTTCTCCATCCTTTCGTCATTTAGAAGATCACCAAAAAACTGCATTTCTACTAAGATCACAAAACCCACTAATCATGCAGAATGTGGGACTATTCATTATCCACTGCCTTCAAAGAAGAAGTTGAACCCCACAATAGCTAGCATAGTAGTAGAAGTAGAAGTTTTTTCCCAGACAGTTGTTACCTGTCTCCTGTTACTGTGTATTGAGTATTATACTTGATTGTAAAAGCAATTAGCCTTCGGGCATAATTTTGCGAATAAAGTTTCTATATACACATGTATATAAAACTTGGCCCTGTTTTGTCCCCTGCAGTACTGTAGCCGTGAGGTGATGGCGAAAATCGTGGTGAACTGTACGGACCTCCTGCGGAGTGACCTGAAGGGGGTGGACGTGCTGCTGCCCCGCATCGTGGACGCGCTGGAGATCATCCTCCCCGACAGGGAGCTCATCAAGTTCCGGTGGGTCTCTTCGTGTGTGGGACAAACACTCATGCTAACTCCCTGTAATTAATGTCATCAAGTTCCGGTGGGTCTCTTCATGTATGGGACAAACACTCATGCTAACTCCCTGTAATTAATGTCATCAAGTTCCGGTGGGTCTCTTCATGTATGGGACAAACACTCATGCTAACTCCCTGTAAATAATGACATCAAGTTCCGGTGGGTCTCTTCATGTGTGGGACAAACACTCATGCTAACTCCCTGTAAATAATGACATCAAGTTCCGGTGGGTCTCTTCATGTGTGAGACAAACACTCATGCTAACTCCCTGTAAATAATGTCATCAAGTTCCGGTGGGTCTCTTCATGTGTGGGACAAACACTCATGCTAACTCCCTGTAAATAATGTCATCAAGTTCCGGTGGGTCTCTTCATGTGTGGGACAAACACTCATGCTAACTCCCTGTAATTAATGTCATCAAGTTCCGGTGGGTCTCTTCATGTATGGGACAAACACTCATGCTAACTCCCTGTAATTAATGTCATCAAGTTCCGGTGGGTCTCTTCATGTATGGGACAAACACTCATGCTAACTCCCTGTAAATAATGTCATCAAGTTCCGGTGGATCAAACCTCACTTGTGGGACACTTACACTAACTCACTGTAAAAATTTCAGGCCTAGGAAAATTAATGTTGTGTTTCTGGTTTCAGTCCTGAAAAAAGTAGGGTCGGTAGGTAGGGATTTTATTCTTCTTTTATTTCTTTCTATAGCTAAATTTTGGCTAGAATGGTTCAACAAGTAATGTCTCATTGACCTCTCCATCTGTTTGCTTGTGGACAGATATTTCACCAAATTTACTGAAGAAAAACTAGAAATAAATACGTTTTAAAAATGACATTTCAGAATACAGAGGGTTAGAAATTCAGATTGAAAATTTGATAGCCTGGTCGGCAAACCTGGAAACCAGAACCCAACATTTTCCCAAGGCCTCATCAGGTTCGTGAATGATTGAATAAAAAAGTTCTTTAGTCACAACCCCTTGTTTACAAGACCCAAACAATCTGTTCTTGCATGGTTCTTACAAACCGGGGGTTGTGAATAAAGAACTTTGATATTCAGTGACATGAACCATTTCTCAGGAAGTTGCAGCAGAGGCTGAGGCCAGCCGTACTTACTGAATATGGAGGTTGTGCTATGTACATGTAGTTTCAATTTTTTTTATTTTGCCCCATAGTGCATATACATCATACATTTTGTTCATCCAACTTGAGCTACAATCTACATGTATTTATGTTTGTTGTTGTGTTTGTTCAGTTGCTTGGTCAATGTCAAAATTAATTTTTTTTTGCTCAAGTTATTTTGCATTGGTAATGTCAAGTCAACATAACTCTTAAGATTCGTATGTTTCAGAGAAGCTGTTCTGTAATTGTTGTGTTAAGTTGTTCTGAATTTTTGTCATTGTTTATTGCGTTAACTATGCATGGATGCATGCCTGTTTTGTTGAGCATAAAAAAAGGCATTGAAGCATCTTGTTTGTAGCTGAAGCACTTGACCTAATGGTTAATCTCCACAGCCGTTCCTCCTCATCCGTAAGCCCAGATCTTGCCAGTAGTGGCCAAAGTGCCTTCCCCTTCCCCCACGAGCAGGAGCCTCCAGTGTGGTAGGTGTGACAGGACTGACGTAGCTTGTAGTTTTCAAAGCAAAACAGCCCATGTAACGGCAAACCCTCCGTCGTAAGTATCCACGCGATGTGCAGTCTAACAACCAACATCATGATCACCAAAGTCTCCTGCTGTTTGACCTCTTTTCTGGTGTGGTGAGCAAGGTTTTTTTTCTCCTGCACTACACAGGCAGACTTACAGTGGAAAAACAATAATCAGCTTTCAAGGAGACAAATTCTGTACTGTCTTTTTCTGACACGGGATCAAGCTAATCTCTAAGCTAACTCGCTAACATTGAATATAGGTAATACATGTAGTTAGCCTATCAGGAGTGATCCTTACAAGACATGGGGTTTTCTAAAGGTACAAGCAAGAACCTGATTTGTCAGGCTATTTTCCCCTTTATTTTTGCTGTCCTCTTGTAAACCCCTTTTGACCATTTTTTCAGTTTGTCAACCCTATCCTTGAATTCCTGAACACAAGTCACCCAAAATCCTATACCCACCCTGGTATTAAACATTACCATGCCTATCCCACGGCACATCACATGGATACTTACATGGAGGAACCACAGGTCGTATTCTCGCTGCATGAAACATGAGCTGCCTCCTGCCAGTCAACACCACCCTCCATCCCTCCCCACTCACAGCTGATACAATGAGCAATAAGTAGAGATGATTCGCATAGGCTCTGACGTTCTAAACTCTGAGAATTCCATCCAGTCTAACTTGACGATTCTCCTGCCTGATTCTGTGTGGTTGCTGCAGACCTGGTAGTCCTGCGTGACTGGTAGTCCTGCATTTAGTACAAGTATGAGCATTTTGAAGCATCTCACTGCTGAGATTGCGATTGGTATGCCAATAGTGAGTAAAATAAACCTCTCCATGCTATACATGGTTCTGAAACCTTTTGACAACCTTGCGGAATCTACATGTAAAACCTATGTATACCCTAAGTAAACTCTAACATCTAAATACACAGAGGGAGAGGAGTCTTATTATAGGTCCATTGCAAATACTTTGTAAACCCCTCAGTAAAAAATGGACAAATTGACTTTACTCCTTCAGAATGTCTTCATAAGCCATATTTTGTGACGACTGTCCTCAATTGGATTTGTCTTGACCAAAAGTCATACACGTACAGGTTCCTGGTCAAAAGGTTTTATAACCCCGGTTGTGCAATGGATGCGGTCAGTTGTAGTCTAACCTGAGCCTTCATGCCAACCTGCCCAAACTCACACACGGCGAGTGACTAACACCAGGGCCCCGCACGCCAGTTTTCCTGTGTGACACACGACTTCTCCGTCCACAGCCCGTACGTGAACCAGATCGAACTGCGCCGCTCGGCCATTCAGCTGCTCCTGTCCATCCTGTGTCTCCCTCTGCACTTCAGGGATCTGCAGATACAAGGTGGGAGGTTTCTTCAGTTTCTTTGGACACTAACACATCTTTTCTCTTGCACATGTCCTTATTAATGCCAATGCCTTCACTGCTGTTTTTCTCAGTGGGGAGTTACCTGAGTTGATCTGTAACATGTCCTCGGTAGTTGTGCAGTTTTTGCAGTAACCTCTCCACCACAAAACGGGAGTCCATGAATATGCATTACCATTGCATTACTTCAATACTGTACTACAGAATTGTTAAAACCAGAGCATCAAGAGCCAAAATTGTTAAAACCACAAACACAGTGAAAACCTCATTTCCTTTCCATCACAAAATTCAAGTCCAAGCAAAAATAAATGAATTTACAATACTAGTACTCGCAGGCAAATGCAGTCCTTTTTGTAATGCCGTATTGTGCATTTTCTTCTGTTTCTTTTTGTTTTGTTTCTTCAGACATTCTGAGGAGTCATGAGACAGAAGAGCAGCCTGAGCACCACACCTTCCTCTCCCTGAAAACTGAGGATGGTGAATCTGCTGATAGGTTCACTCCAGTGTGAGCAGGACTCTGACAACACACAGATGATCCTAGGTTAGTACAACTTAAGATACGCAAGGAAGTCTTTGTAAAAGAATGAACCCAAATCTTGCTCGAGATTGAGAAGAAAAGGCCCCTTGCATCACATAAACTTTAATCAGTACACAAGATACATGTATGTTGAACTTCAGTTTAATATTCTGGCAGCTGGCTATATTACACCAAATGACTTGTTACACCTAACCCTTGAACTTGTAGCTCAAGACATTGTTTAAAGCTATCTATTGACAATGCCCCTACTGTACTTGGTGACAGTGAGTTCCACTCTGCGATAGTTATAGGAAAGAACGAATTCTTGAACACCTCAATCCTTGGTTGATAACTCTGGTACTTGAAGGCATGGCTATTTCTTGTTCTCTCCTACCTGCAGGAGGGATGCTGCTGTGTGTGCAGGACGCTGCCTTGCTGGATGAGGCAGAACTGCAGGCCGAGCAGGCTGAACTTGAGCAGCAAAATGAGGAAAGGTTAGTACTTTCTTTGAGCTGTAACATACAAACTATAGATATGGCCCTATTCAATATCTTGCATAACTGTTATCCTCAACTTACACCATTGAGAAGCGATATGATAGTATGTTGTACATTGAAAGTATAGCCGATTATTGAGTATTACACATTTTTTCCTGACTAATCAACTAAAATGTCCTTTCAGTGAAAATACAGAGAAGGCAGCAGATCAAGAACAAAAAGGTATGGCAAGAAAGGCTGAAGGATTTTTAAGGCTGTTTTGGTCCTTGATATGTAATCTGGTTGTTATCACTTCTTGCAGTGTGATTTTCTGTTCTTCGCTGAATATCTCTTGTGATCGCTCTCTACTATTGGACAAGTGATAGACTCATTGTCCGTTACCTGTGCTTTAACTGTTCCTTCCACTGTTCATTGCTTATTTCACAAGTCCTTAAGATGTATAGTGTTGCACGTAAAAGAACCCAATACACTTATTGAGAAGAATAGGGGTGACCCGGTGTGCTTGGCCATAAATGCGATCTGTAGGGAAGTCGCGTTGCACTATAAGCTACTTTAGAAAGCATCATGCTTCACCTCAGTTGAGGATGACTGCTCTACCTTTTTCCCGTGGCACTGACTGTTGACAGCAGTGAGACCCTCCTGTTTGTTCCAGGCACTGCAGATGCACCCGACCACGAAACACCTGCTAGTAAACTAGCCCAGGGACTGTACAGTGAATATGGTTTGTTTCAGACACACACTTTCCTGTTTGTTTATAGAACATGCTTGAACACAATTCTCTGCACTCTTTTTCCTGTTTCTGCTGTACCTCTTTAGCGTGTGGTTCTTCCTGGTGATAATCTTAAGGAAATGTATTTTAGAACTTAAAAAGTCTGAACTTGATCTTGTTGAAATTGATCTTGTAACGTGTTTTTGATTTTATTGTATAAGCAAAATAAATAAACTAATATTGTAAATACAATGTAATAATAATTGTGCTATTATTTAAAATCACTTGTCTTTCTTGTTATAACCTTTAAAAACTTCTGGAAATTATTGGATTCTTCAATAATCTTGCAATGCCATCTTCTTCCATAAATCTGGCTAGACTAGAAGAGTATCATGATTATGTTATTATCAGTGGCATGTTGCTACATGTAATGTCAACTTTCATAATTCTGCCAGGTACATGTACCATAAGAGTGTTAAGGCCTTGTAGAAAATGCCTTTAATTAAAAATGCTCCCCTCTGTAATACCCCATTTAGGGGTTGTTTAAGGCAACCAAGAAGAAGAAGGAAAATGCCTTGTATTGTTGATTGTTGATGCTGTATTAGACCGCGTTTGGTTCGTCGTTTTTAATATGGCAGTCTTAGGGTACCTGGAGGAATTGTTAGAGTTGATGTTATGAGTTGCTCCAATCCCTGCGCCCAAACCCGCAGACTCCGCGTACGGCCTGTTTGTGCGCTGTATCCACCTGGTGTGTCAGCGCCTGATGTCAGCGTGGAAGACGGACCTCAACGTCAGCCTGGCTGCCCTGGAGCTGCTTTCTGGACTGGCCAAGGTCAAGATTGACATTCAGGGTGAGAGAATTTGATTCCAGACTTTTTCCTTGCATCCTCAAGTCTCAATAACAGTGGAAAGGGTGCATACAAGCTACTTGCCCGATCGTACATACAATTTAAAGCCATGCCACACAACCTAAGCTTTAGAATGGTATAACTTACTTGTCTGTAGCTTCATAGTGATACATAAAAGCAAGCCTGAATTTTTTCCCATGCAAACTTGCAAGTTTCAAGAACATCTAGCCACAATCCAGAAATATTTTTGGCTAATTGCGGGTGACTATTTAGAGCCCTACATGTAACTTTAAACCGTACCTCTGTGTTGTACAGATGTGCTGGAGTGTAAGCGTGCAGTGAAGTGGATCTGTGACTATATCGGGTACCAGTGCAGCCGCCCGCCCCCTAACCACTCCCGAGACCTCCACTCCATGATCGTGGCAGCCTTCCACTGTCTGACAGTGTGGCTGGTGGAGCATGCCGACCTCATGAATGACAAGGTAAGCTCTCAAAATTTCATCAGGTTCATGCTTCATGCTGTCTGATGAATCTCTCAAACCATCATCTGGTCTATTCTTAATGCTGTTCAATGGATTCTAGCATATAACTGTTATAATGTTCATCCAAGTTGAGTGTCTTGTGTAGAAATGATGGTACCAGCAATGTTCACCCCAGAATTCTTTGGAACCATATTAAATGTGTTTTCAAAATTTTTAACTGTGTGCTGACTGTGCATATTAATTGTCCTCAATGAATGTTCAACTAGCTTTACATGTTTGACCCTATTGTTGTCTCTGTCCACCAGGAGTGTCTGCAGCATGTTCTGGAGACTGTTGAACTGGGCATATCAGGCAGCAAGTCAAAGGTTGGTGGTTCTGAAGTACAGATCATATTGAACTTACCATGATAACATAGGAGTGAGAAATTTTCTTTTCATCTCTCTTAATACTGTTGATTTGGCTTTTCGTTTTGGTAATGCCTCAGGAGAAGAAGAGCTCTTTTTCAAATACTTTTGTGGAAAGTTGCTGACTGTGTTAGTCCTACTCCACCCATGCAGGTGAAAGCCAGTGACCAGCCCAAGTACAAGGGAGACAAAGAGCTGAAGCCTGCCTCCATGAGGGTGAAGGACACAGCGGAGGCCACGCTGTATGTGGTCATGAGCCAAGTGGTGAGAAGACAGTGCTCATGCCCTTATTAATGAACTAATCATTGAAACTATATCAGCAGTAGTGCACAGTCGGAATATGCAGCAAGGGAGAAGCCATTGCTGGTCTTATAAAGAGCTTGACACAAGATTAAATACACATGTATGTCTTTTTTGTGGCCCAGACTTAGCCCAATGGAACAAATTGGTACAATGTCCTAATTCATTCATTTTGTCATACAGTGTTCTGTTCTGTAGTGTTTCTTTCCAAACCTGGCAGCACTACTTGTAGTCTGAATTGTGATTAAATATCATCATACAAATCATAAATATAATATGAAATCATCAGTATCAGCTGTAGATTTACCGGTGCAAAATATTACTACACTGTATTTATCCTGTAGGGTTCGTTCCCGCCCACCTCTGGCCCAGCCTCCCTGTGCACCCTGCTGAATGAGGAGGCCATCATGAAGTACGCCCGCGGCAGCAGCAGTGAGGGATCCCTCCCCTTCAGGTACTTTGTCATCGACAAGAACATCATCATGGGAGTCCTGGAGCAGCCACTGGGCAACGAGCAAGGTCAGACATACTCGTGTTTTCTGTTTCACCTGATGTGTTGTTGTAGTCCTCAGTCTGCTCTTGATAGATGTTTGTAAGTACATTTGTAAAAGCGACAAAGTTGTTGACTGCATGAAATCTTAACAACCAATGTCATAGCCTGCTATCTGTTCTACAACGTACATGTACCAGTATTCTAGCTCCAGTTTGATCCTCTGAGAATCAATCAGAAGAGCTAACTGAAGCTAGAATGAAGTCCTAGTAGATACCAAGCTACAATAGTCCAGGACAGTCTGTTAACGTGAGTTCTGTATTCCCCTGCAGACCCCATGCCCACTGTAACAGTGTTGATCAGGACTCCCTACGGCAGACATGCCTGGACCATGCAGCACAGGCAACTCTCACGGCAGGACAGGGTAGGGAGACTGTTCTTTGTTCTGTGAAAGCAAGTCTTTGGAATAAAAATGAGAATTGTACGAACTGACCTGTCAGTGATGGACAGGTTCAGTTGTCTCCGCATCCCTCTAGGTCAGCCTTCAGTGGAATGACATAAGGTGTAGTGGGCCTGACCACCCCCATTTCTCACTTGGTAGCTCCCAGAATGAAACTCCCATGATTCCTTGCTGCGCATGCGCACTGGTCAGTCTTCTGTTTGTAGAGGCTCCTGGCCGA